AAGTAGTGTTGCAATTTTAAATATGATGTGTGGAAACTATCATTGAGAAGATAATATTTGAGCAAAGAGCTGAAGAAGAGGGAGCAGAGAAATGTGCATGTCTAGAACATACTAGAACAACTCAAGTGCAGAGTTGATAAACAGAATAGCTAGCTCTGTGAGGAAATTAGATGCAGGAGGGATACTATGGTAACACATACACTCACCACGATCATCTTTATGGAGCACTTCATATGCAACGACCACTGTGCTGAGTGAAGGGGATATAAGGGGAATACTCTGCATTTGGGCAGCATACAACCCATCATTTAGGATAGCCTGCACACACACGTGTGCATGCATGTGCATGATGCACATATATATACACATGAGTATTATATGTATAGATGTATAAACAAAAAGAAAATATTTGTAAAATGAGGAGGCTGTATGTGAGCCATTCATTCACTGTCACCTACCAATAGCAAGGCACTGGGCCATTCAATGGGTATCCAACAGTGAATAAGACAAGGACTATCCTTATCCAAGTACCTCACACTCTAGTGGGAAATAAAGACAAGCAAACAGGCAATTTCATTAAGCATGTAAATGTTTTGGTGGAAGGAGTACAGTGCGTTCAGTAGGATTCAAACTTGGTTTCAGCTGAGGAAACCTTTGTACAAATGTATTCTTCTGGAAGTCATGTAAAACAGCTTAACAGCGAAATTGTTCTATTCGATGTCGGCATTCCCCTGAGACCTACTGTAGCAAGGTGAAGGAGAAGTTCTGAGCCTTTAGAACCCCTAACGTATCTATTTACAACTCACACATAAGTTAAAAATATGTCATTATATTATCAGTAAGAAACAACTGTAAAAAATAAATCTCCAAAAAGGTGGTTCACCTTAACTCTTCTGGTCACATAAATGCAAATTTGCAAGAAGCCTGTAATTCTGTGACTGCATTGCTTTACCACTGCTGACACAATTTTCAACTCAATTCAAGTGAAGTAGGTTTCTCTTATTTGGGAAATAAGATATGGCATTTTTCACAAAAAGAAGTACTCCGTACTTTTATTACTTGGCTAAAATTTATATAGGAGTGTTGCCGCCTATATACCTTTCAATAGTCATATTTTTCCGAACAGATAATGGCTTAAATTTTCTTCTTGGCCAGCTAATTTAATTTTAGAAAACCAGATAGTATCTATATTGTTTTATTCCTCATTTTATATCTGTTAATAAGTCTGATGGGGTTGTTTTTGTGCTTGAGGATCACAGAAGAATAAGATTTCAGTGGGTAACAACAAGACAAAAACTCCATTCATGCCTGATTTGTTAAGAGTTCAGAGAAACTTCCAAATGCACTTCTCCAAAAAGTTTTGGTATGAAAAGGTAACTTCCAAAAAAACTGAACTCTTTTTATGTATTAAACACAGGAGCATCTAGTCAACTTTTTTCTCTTTTGCAAGCCTTCTTACAAAACAAAAAACAAAGAACAATAACAAAAACCCCACCCTAGTAGATTTAAGAATTTTGAACATAAAGAGATTTATTATTAGTAACTTATTAAAGACCACAGCTCTCAAAACTATGTTTTCTTAGAAAGAACAACTAAAGTAGTTTTTGTGTTTCTCTGTTCTGAAGGCTGATATATTCAGTTGTAACAAAGAGCAAACGTATCAACTATACATACTTCACTTGTACCTATTTTACAATTTACAATAACTTGTTGCCACAATAATGATAAAACACTATAAGAGTATGGAAATCTAGGTCTGAATCCTGATGCTATTATTTAACTGTAGATACTGGCAAATCATCTAACTTCTCTGAGTGACAGTTTCCTTGTATATAAAATAAACAGTCTAAACTAAACTAAATTCAAAATAAAGTAGTGGTTCCCAGATTTGGCTGATTTTTGTTTTAACATAAAATCTCCTTTTTAAAAAAAATAAAACAATAGTTATTGGTTTGTGGCTTAATGTTTAAAATCTTTGGCTAAACACAAGTCTTAAGTCTTCAGATATTCCTCCTTTTTCCACCTAACATTTTTTTGTTAAATATGTTACACATAAAAGAGTACATAAAAATCTCTGTATCAATTAAAGTGTTTGGGAGATAGATGCAAGGAAGGGAAGAGGCCTAAAACCCTATTTTCCTTTGTAGAAAATTAACAGATGTCCCTAAAACTGAAAAAGCATGAAGTAGCAATATAAACATGCCATTTAGAGACATGAGATACATTTACAACATACATCAGTTACAGTATACATGAATGGTAAATGGTTGTCTCTGGTGAGAGAAGAAGGGAAGTGAACTGCTATTTCTTGGTAACAAAACCTGTAGGACTATTTAAATGTTTTATATTATGTGCTTATATAACAAAGATAAAAATAAAAACGTCCAAAAATGTACATAAGAGTGCCAGCTTTCCCTCTCTACTGTGTCTTATTTATTTATCCTTCTGAGTCTCAGTTTCCCCAACTATAAAATGCAAGTTCTACTCCTCACTTTACAGGCCTACTGTTAGATTATAGACAATGAATATGAAATACATAACAAATTGCTTAACAAAGAGAAAGGCCCAGTAAATGAAAATTACATGTATGAGCGTTGTTACTGATAAATTACACCCATTTTTGGTTAGAAATTTCTAGAAGTACCCAATATCCTCATGGGAAAATGATGGAACAAGTTTTTTTTTTTTTCTCTTCATTTATAATAGATAAAACTGTACTTCTGTTGGCTCTTCCTCTTCATATTCCTCTAAATATTAATCTTCCTCAGAGTTTTCTTCTTGTCCCTCTTCTCTTCTCACACTACAACCTTTCTCTGAGCACCCTGCATTTTCCCCATCACATTTATTCTAGTTATTGTTGGTAACTCTGGCTCCTCCAGTGTGCAGATCATGCTTGTTTTGCTTCTGCCATGGTTTGATCACATGCAGTAAAGGATGTAACCACTAGTGAATTGTGCAATCTAATTGCCCTGGGTATGCCCCTTCTTTCCACTGTTAAGTGTCATTATAAGGATAAAACCATAAGTAGATGAAGTAAATAGTAAAGAGAATTAGAGCAACAGGTAGCCTAGCTAGTTTGTTCTGAAAGGCGAAGGTCAGGGAGATGTTTGGGAGGGACTTACACAGTGGACAAAGGATACTCTCATAAGAAGATGTTCTTGGATTATAAATAAGGACTGGTAATGAGTCTGCACATTTTTTTTTCTGATAGTCTGGACTATAGCACCTCCAGTTAATCTGATCATGGTCACTGTAAAAAATTAACTAAATGTTATTGGATCTATGCTGCCTCACTTGTCTCATCTGATGTAATCACTATGTAGAAGGAAACTTACAGAGGAATAGAGTCAGTACACCAAATACACAACTTTCATATCTGAAAAGTCAGTTGTTAGAAACAGTAAAAAAATCAGTGACTCCCAGGGGGTGGGGGGAAGAGAAGGATGAATAGATGAAACAGGATTTTCAGGGCAGTGAAATCATCCTGAATGATACTATAATAGTATAATGGTGGATACAATCATTATACATTTGTCAAAACTCACATAATATACATCACCAAGAGTGAACACTAATGAAAATCATGGGCTTTGGTGATAATGATGTATCAATGTAGGTGCATGAATTGTAACAAATGTACCACTCCAGTACACTATGTTGTTACTGGGGGAGGCTGTGTATGTGTGGGTGCAGGCAGTGCATGGGAACTCTCTGTACTGTCTGCTCAATTTTTCTATGAACCTAACACTGTCCTTAAAAAATGAAGTCTATTTTAAAAAGTTAGTTCTTCCTTAAAAAGTTTCAAAAAATAAAAAAAGACAGAAAACTGAAATTACCTTCTTTTGAAAGTGGGAGAACAGGTTTGCCAGCTGTGTTGTTTGGAGGTAAAGCCAGATTCCCATTCATTGTATCAGTAAATTCCTCAATTCTTTCCTCACCAATCTCCAATGCTAGAGGATTTGAAATCATTTCATCTTCTGGTCTGATAAGAAATAATGCGTGAAATTTTCCATTATATACAGGACTAAAATTTCAAATATACATTTTAGTTTACTTATTAAAACATATTTATACATTTCTTATTACCAAAAAGAGTATCAGGTAGCTTACACTAAAAAAAAAAAAAAAAGTAGTAAATTTTAGATAACAGAATATCACTAGAAGAAGATAGGTTTGTAAATAAAGAGAAAAAAGTATATGTTAATTCTAAGATTGCCATGGTTACTATGATACAATAGAAAATTTTTGCTCTAAGTTTCCAGGCAGCCTTGGTTTTATTTACCTTGGCTTAGTAATTTTTCAAAATTAGGGAACATACAATTTATCAGAGGAGATGAAGTTTTTCTTGGTACAAATTCTGAACTGTTTATGTGATCATGTCCTCCGTAACAGCTTTAGAGCAAATGCAGAAATAGATTAATTTTTACATGGCTATTTCTTTTTCTGATTACTGAAAAAAACTGAAAGCATAATGTTCAAGTTAAGCTCAATGAAGACCATTCTGCCAGCATCTAAACACAAAATATTACAGTATCTTGGTTAACACTAACCTTAGATTCCTGTGCTTTTATTTCATCAGTTGACCCAGTCTCAGAATCCTTTTTCCTTTTGCAAAAAACATTAGATGACTTATTGCCTAGAAACCTGTAGAGACTATTATTTGAATCCTCAAATTCCAATTCCTTTTCATTTTTGAATAGCTTCATTCCTACAGGTTCAAATATTTTATGGTTCATTAGAACCTGGCAAAACTGAACTCCTTTAAGACGAGAGATATCATTACTATTTAGGTACATATTTTGCATAAGATGACTTAATACTACATCAACAGCATCAGAACCAGTAAAACAGTCTTTGTATGTTCGTAAATGACGCCTCCATCTTTTTATTTCCACTTGAGTCTGAAGGGAGTGAATAATACCATCCCATAGCTGAGTAGCTTGAAAAGGACCAGAGTATCCTGAAAAAAAAATTGAACATATGTTTTTAACAAATTTCAGGTATACATATAAATATGTAAGTTTTTCAGTTCTGACAACCTTATGCTTTTTTATGACATATTTGCTACCAGTGCCTTTAAGTTTCTTTTTCTTTCATCTTATGTAAACAATAATATGTTTACTAAGATTGCACCACATTCATTTGCCAATTAAATTAGAGTAAACCTGGGAACTTGCCTTACTGATATGATATATACTATTATGTGAATTTATACACTCTTAATATTACATGATTAATGACTAGCTATGCTTAGTCTTGAAGAATATTATTTTAGGACACACTTACAAGGAATGCACACAGACACTGGAGTCTTGATTATTACAGAGCTGTGTCTTCACTAGACTGTTTACTCTTTCTTTTCTTTTGCCCTTTTGACCAACGACAAGCTTTGCATTAAAAAATCTATGGCAAGAAGCTGAAAAAAACCTACTCAATTTATCTGCCAGCCATTCTTGTTGGAAAAGAAAGTTTTTGAGGAATAATGAAAATCTGAAAATAAAAAAAAATAGTGTGTATAACCTGGGGAATAGTTAAATAAATTATGGCACAGCCTTACAGAATATTAAGTAGCCATTAGGAAGAATGAAGTTTATAGCATGGAAGGATTTCATTAGTAGTAAAAACAAAAAAACAATGAGTTGGACAGAACAATTTGTATACTATCATCCTAGTTATGTAAAAATGAATTCCCAACCTACACACAAATATATGTAAATAGAAAGAAAGGTCTGGAAGGATAAACTTCAAACTAACCTTTGGAAAACAGATGTAATGAAAGAGGATGTTCACTTTTTAGTCTATTTCAATTTTTTGTAATGTACATATACAATTTTTTATTGAGATACAATTCACATACTGAAAAATTCACCCTTTTGAAGTGTACAATTCAGTGGTTTTTAAGTACATTTGCAAAGCGGTGTAACCATCTTTATTATCTAACTCCAAACCATTTTATCACTTCAAAAAGAAACTCATACAGTTAGCAGTCACTCCACATTCTGGTGGACGCCAGTACATTTTTAATAAAAAAATTTAATAATGGTAAGGGAATAAGTTGAAGCATCTAGAACGTTGTTTCTAGATTTTTGTTGTTAGAATTCAAGAATTTAACAATGCTTTATTTGACTATGGATAACTGGAAACAGGATGGCCAGTTTTACATGCTAGTTTGATGTTTATGACAAAAGGGCAGAAATAAAAAGCCCATCACCTTCAAATGCTTTCTGTAACAGAACAGGTCTGTCTATCCTTGAACTGTTAGTCCGAGACACGGTGGACACTGCACAGAAAGGAGTGAGGAATGGAGGGTAAGAAGTGGAAAAGGGGAGGGATTGAGGAGGGGAGAATGAGGGTAGGTAGGGGCGGGGTTAGAGCAGGGTAGGGTAGGGTGGATAAGACTAGGAGTCTGTGAACGGTGGCGACAAGGATTATTTTCCATAGACGATTTGCCTAAGTGTCACTGAACAAATGCGCTGGGTTAAAGAAATAGTCCTCGTGATAAAGGAACTTGCCATCTGGTACTATTAATCCCTTGTTGTTCTAAGTGTAGCCTTCTGACCAGCAGTATTGGCATCATCTGGGAACTTTATTACAAGCGCAGAATATCAGACCCTACTGTTAAATCCAAATAGCGTTTTAACAAAGTTCCCAAACGGTCTGTGTTTATATTAAAGTTTGAGAAGCACTGCTTTCCTGGTCTCCCGAAGAGTAGCTCCTGAAAATGCCCAGTGGCGGCTCTCAGCCCAGGACTGAAAGGACAGGTAGGCCCGGAAAGGGGGGGTTCCAGAGGCCTGAGGCACAAGTCCAAACCGCTCCTCTCATCCGTCCTCCTCTTCAGTACACATTTGATTAAAATGTATAGGCTACCTGTCCTCCTTTTCCGGCAGAAGACACCTCTAGAGCTCACGAAACTCGGCCCGCTCCGCCCTGGGCCCGGAAGCTCGCTCTGGCTTTCGAGGGTACGGAACCGCGGAGTCAAAAGAACCGCCATAAACTCGCCCTCGGGGCTCCTCCTCCGGCTTGTAACCCCGCCCCCCACTGCCTCTAGGGAGGCGGAGGCCAAGGAAGTCCCGGTCCCGCCCCTTCCGAACCAGCCGGAAGTGACGTCATGCCCCGGCCGGCTGGTCTTTCGGTCTTCTTTCCCCTCCCTTACTCTTCCTCCCCAGTCCCTCCCCTTCCCTCCCCCTTCCCTCCTCCGGTTCCAGCCTTTGAGGCCGCGCGAGTGTGGGAGGACATGGAGTAAGCAGGCGGCAGCGGCCAGGTGCTGAGGCTGAGCAGGAGCACCCAGGAGGCGTTTAGAGGGGCGGGGGAAACAAGCCCCAGCACCGCCCCTCCCGGGAGGAGAAGGAGAAGAGGTGAGTGACCGTCCCCGAGCACCGAGCGACCGCCTTCACCGGCCGCGCTCGCGGCTGGGCTCCCCCAGGCCAGCGAAGAAGGAATGTGGAAGAACCGGCGCCCGGGTAGGCCTCCTTAGGTCCCCGGGGCTAGTGACTGTTGGCTGGTGACGGGCCTGCCGGCTGCAGGCCGTGCCGGCGGGGCTGTGGGCGCCCGCGCGGGGCCGAGCTGGGGGAGCCGCGAGCTCCCGGGAGCGAATCTGGGAGGCCTGAGTCTGCTGAAGAGGCCTTGAAGCGGCGGGAGACGCGGGGCAGGAGCCATCTGCTAGAGGGAGAGCCCCCTGCTTCTCCTGGGGAGCTCGGGTTTCCGTGGTGGAGATCTTGGTCCCGTTTTGGAAAACTGGACACTGCTCCGGGACTGGGTGAGACAGATCCCTTCAGTGTTGAGGTCCTCCTGATTACCTGGGTTACCAACTGGGGCCCTACCGCCCGGCGTCCTTTACTGACGGTAGCTTTAGTTCTGGAACGGAAGGTTTTTGTTTGTGAGGTGGGTGGGGCAGGTGTTTTGTTAAATAACCCGCTCCAAAACTCCTGCACTCTTGGTTTTCTAAGTGGGAAAGGGTGGAGGAGGGTTTAGATCGATGAAGCTTGCGAAGACTTGGGATCCGATTGAATATATACTTACGGTCCGTAATTAAGGGGACTGGTGTTTTCAGGTCAGCTCCTATGACAGTCTTCCTGAGACTCCAGGCTCAAGCGACTTAAAAGTGCTATGTCAGTAGCGACGAACAATTGTAAGTTGCAAGCTAGTTTTTTGTAGAACCAAGTCAGGAATCATTTGTATGACTTTTTTTTTAAATTGGATTCCGTGAGTAAGAAGTTTTCTAAGTCATATTCGCAAGCCTCTCCATTCTGGAAAGTTAATATAGTTCAAGGTAAATGCTCCAAACCAGCCTGTCACTGTAAATACCCAGTCATGTTCTTGTAATGGCTTACAAGCCAGGTACTTGAAGCTTCCTTCTGAACTTTGCAGGCCTTTTTTGGCTTCTTGTCTTGTTTTTTGGTTTAAATATTAATTTTTTAAAAGTTTGAAAATAATTTGTCAGCCGAGTGTATAAATAGAATTCTTGAGACACTATGAAACTGTAGTCATAAAAGACACGTTTAGTGGACTGTGTAAAGGAAAGGAACCTAAAGGAAGATAAAGATCTTCATTCTGTTCAGATCCACTGTACACATGTGCAGAAACCTATTTTTTCTCTAAGATCCATGAACACCCAATAAAATAAAATTCCAGTGCTTGCATACACTGGAATATTTCTGTAAAAATCAACCCCGTAATTCATGACTTACCCACCAAGAAAAATGGGACCTCTTACCATGTTTAACTCAAGTCACTAACTTAATCATCCATCTCTTTCTATAGGAATAAAGTTTGATAACATCCTGTTTCTCATGCCTCCTATCAGTCTCCTTTGATTTTGCCTCTTTGAATATCTCTGGAGTCTGTATTCCTCATCTTCACACTAGTACTCTAGTTCCAGCCACCATCGTTTCTCATCTGAAGTACTTTTGGTCTCCTGAGGGTCTACGTGCATTTACTGTGGCTACCTCTGTATTTTTCTACACCAGACTGAGTGATTTTTTTTCAAAATACTGATGTAATCACATTATCTCCATGTTTGAAAACCTACACTATTTTTAAGAGAAACTACAATCCTTAAACATTAAAAAAAAAATCCTTAAAATCCTAAAACAGGCTATTTGGACCCCTCTTAACTGCCTTTTCCATCTTATCTCCACAATGCCTTCTGGCATACCCAACCCCCCCCCCCACCCCCACCCCCCCCCCCCCCCCGTCCCACTCTGTTCTCTGTTTCAAGTTCATGGCTTTTGGTTATGATGCTTCCTTTGCCTGGAAATGCTCTTCCTTTCTTTTTCATCCAGCTAATGCCTACTCATCATTCAGCTCACTTCAGGGAAGACTTTCCTGATTAGGATAGATACCCCTCATTATATGTACTCATGACACCACTGCAGAATTGCCATACTTAATATGTAATAAATTAGTGAGCTGTTCCTCATCTTCTGATACTGTGTAAGTTTTAATAAATGTTTGTTAAAGGGATGGATTCACTGAATATTTACTAAGTATGCTAGGAATTGTACTGTTTTCTGTGCATCTTCATCTTTAATCCTCACAACAGTCACTTGAGGTATGGGTGGCAATTCCCCCTTTTTAAAGATTAGATATTGTATTAGGGAGGCTAGTTGGTGGTCATAGTGCTAGTATTAGAACTATCATTTGAACCCAGGTTGCGTTGCCAGTGAAGATTGTGTTCTTACTCATGTAATTCTCATACTGTGCATCAGAATCACCCGGGGAGCTGCTCAGATTGCAAATGTCCTGACAAATTTATAGATTCTGATAACAAAGGTTTGAGACAGTACATAGGCATCTGTATGTTACCCAGTCATTTGGATGTTATTAGATGTATTTAGGTGTTCATCAGAGTTTGAAAATCATTAGCTTGGTGTTTGGAAACCATTGTCTTAGGCGACACTTTAGTGTTTTATGAATATCAGTTTTCACACATTGTCCTACAGTGTTTCAGATTTTATATGTTCTTAAATCAAGGAAGAACTGTAGACCTGAGGAAGTGACCTTAGCGATCATTTAGTCTAATTTCCACTCAGTTATTCCTTTTCTCCCTTCTTTGGCTGGAGGAACTGAATAGTAAGACACTGCCACCCAAGTGCTGCTGCTACTTTTTTTTAAAAGTACAATAATTTCCAAGTATCTGACTGACTTCCTGTAGTAAAAACTATGAAGTACATGGCCTAGACGTACCTTAAAAAAAGTTACGTGTACTCTCTCATCAAATTTTACGTATTGTTCAAATTACTAATTTGCTATTTAAGCATATATTGCCTTATAATCTACCATTCTGCTTTTTAAATCTTACTGTGTACAAATTTAATGATGGAAACAATGTTTTACTTCTTGTTTCTCCTACTGCATCTAGTTTGGTGCTTTTGAACTCTTAGGTACACAGTAATCTGTTGAATGGGTTTTTTTATGTTTGTTTCTTAAATCAGTTTGTCCCCTGTAAGTAGTCTGTTCTAGCTCAACTGATAATTAGATACTTTCCTTAGTTACAAGGAGAATGATTGTATTCAAGTGGTACAATCTTTGTTTTCTTGGTAAGATTAAACATGACTTCTATGTAGGCCAAAAAATGTTTTTAATTTTTGAAAACTGTATGTTTTTAGAACTTCCAGTAATCTCTGAGTCTTCCTGCAAGAAAAAAAAAATGTGTTTTGAAAGTGTATCTCAGGACCATCTTAGACATAAACAAAGAAGCACCACATATAGGTGTTCAGGTATAAATTTTTTTTTACCAAATTTTATGAAGCATTTTGTCAAAATTATTTGTCATGTTAATGTAACTCTTATTTGAAGTTACAAAATTTTATAAGTGTTTAACTATATAAATGACTATATAAGTGGTATTTTAAAATTTTTAGGCATTTATTTAGAAATCTCAGACCCTTGTGCCTCTTTAAGGAATAAAGCAAACTATTTTGAGTTCATTTGTATTTTTTTGTGTTATTGTTTTTTATAATCAATATGCTTATCGAAAGTCTAGTCTCTGTTAGGTGCCATGAGACTAACAGTTAGTTACTAAATGTAATTTCACTATCAGATGTAATTAAAGTAACCTTTTTATTTGCATTACAGTATTCCCAACAAAAATGCAAGCTAATTCTATTTACTGTTCAAATTAGTAATCAAATTACTAATAAAAGAATATTTTATTCTCTGGGAAGTAAGGAAAAAAGGGTCTCTTTTTGCAGTTTTGTTACTTGAAAGTCCAGGAAGTTAGTATAAATACAATTTTACGTACTATATTCCTGCTATATGTAGAGTTTATGAGTAGGCAGAACTGAAAGAATTGCCAGTTCTTTTCAGGTGCCTGCCATCAGGTGCTGTTAACACTCAACCCACCGTCTGCCGGGTACCTGTAAAATCTAGTATTACAACCGATTCATCTACTGGTTCTACTAAAAGCCAAATGATGGCTGAATCAGATGGTAGAGAGATATTATCTTGAGATCTTACTGAAGCTGCCTCAAGTTTTATTTTGGCAGGGATTTAGGAGGGGAAGATGATTGAATTTCAAGTGAATTCTACTAAATGGTGTACAAGGGCCAAACACAAGAGTAAACATTTCTATCATTTATAATTTTGTCTTAGAAAGATAAGACTTGTTTCTTTATTAATCAAGTGAAAATTTGAAAAGTTATTTTAGGAAAATATAGTTGGACTCTAGGATTCTTACATGTCAAAACGCTATTGCTAATTATTCAAAATCTCATTTAAGTTTTGGTCTTTTTTTACAAGCTTATTCATTTCATTCTCTTCTTAGCCTTTCAGTTATTCTCGTGATTATAGTTACTCCTGTTGGGTCTCTTTGGGTAACCTTTTTCAAGCCAACAGTCTTAACTACCATACTGCTTATAAACTCATGGTGCCCACATTTTTATCTTCAATCAAGACATTTCCCCCTAAGTTTTTGGCTTGCATATCTAAACCTACTAGCTGTATACTCATATTAATGTCATTCAGGCATCGCAAATTCAACATGTCCAAAATTGAGTTCTTCTTCCCACAAAACAAACAGTTGT